GGGGGGGGGGGGGGGGGGGAGAGCGTGCGAGCAGAGAAAAAAACTAAGCATTGGTCAAGTAGGGTAACGTCCAGTGCCCGCATAGTACGAGGAGAGGTGTATAGGGAGTAGTTGGGAGTCGATAGTTGAGAGTCGCAAAGGCAGCGGGACACAGAGCAAAATGCACAGCCGGCAAGAGGGTACTGTATTAGTCGGAGAGTTGGCACCGGGTGCGATCGTTTTTTTTTTAATGTTTTTTCCTCGGGCTTTTTATCGAACCCCAGTGCCATCTCTCCGACCGGCGCCATCTCTACGACCCCGGGGCGGAAATGAAATTAAATTGATTCGTTTAGAATTTTCAAGGCACCCCGGTGCGATCTCTCCGACCGGTGCCATCCCCAATGAAATGCACACAGGTGTTGTATGCACGCATGCCGGTGCCATCTCCCCGACCGGTACGATAGTGTTGATACCAGTGTAGGAAACCCACACACACAGTCTTCTTCGCACGCTAGTTGACAATGCTATTGATCGGTACAGATACCACACGTACGTGTAGGTACCGTTGTCGCTGGTAGGAAGCACACCGGTAACGGCAACGTAGGCTGGTGCGTAACAGCTTTCCATGCAGGTGGGCTTTCTTGTGTTTGATGCGAGCGATGGCAATGCCGTGATAACAACAAACGATGTCGTTTCTATCTGAGGTGGTACCACCACACACCGTATCAACTGTTTGTTTCCCGCTTTCGGCCTTCTTCAACGGATACCAGTACGTACGCTGCAGTACAATAGTTTCGGGTTGTGTAAGGTGGGGTAGGGTGCGGCTTGTACGTCGTGTGTTTGATTGAGTGCACGGTTGGCAACTTCCATACCCAAAAAAAATAAAACAACTGGCATCCCGCATGAACCGCGACCATTTAATCGTACGTAATGGAGTGGTACTCCGCTGGCACCGTCCCCACGTGTACCTTTTCAAGGTACGCACATGTGCCTCATTCGGGCAGCTGAAAAGGAGCTCAATCTTGGATTGGGGAGTTGAAGAGATCGCACCCGGTGCGATCTCACCGACCCCAGTGCGTTAATCGAATTACATGTTTTTTCTCGTTCTTTTTCTCGCACCCGGCGCCGTCTCTCCGACCGGTGCCATCTCTCCGGCCGGTGCCAACTCTCCGACTACTACGGGAATGAACAATGGAACTCCAACCACAATGGGCCGTGAGGGATTTGTCACGAACCCTTATCCGCTGAATATACTCTTGCTAGGATACCGTTTATTCACAAGGCGGAAGGCACTCCGCTGGCCAAAATAAATAGATGGGACAGAAATTTCACACACAAGCCGGCCATAACGAACGGTCTTCGCAGGTGCCGGGTGCCGCAAAACAAAACGCCCAAGAATATGCTCAGCGCTGGTGCTGCTTGCCGGACACGAACAACGCATGGTACGCAACGTCTTCTGTCTAAGTACTACGAGCAACATGTAGGACACAACTATTGTACTACTACTGCTGTAGCCTCGACAACATTCCGCTGACTAACGCAGTGCCCGCTCACCGACTGCCACTGGTCGGGCTTCATTCGCATGGTGAGAGTGTCCCTCGTGATGCCGGCGTTGTTCACCACCACCTGCGAGTTGTCCAAGGTTCGAGTGGGGGGGGGAAAGTGACCACCCTGTTTCAAGAGTCCAGCCAAGCCACAGTCATGTTTCAACGAGGCCCCACCGACCCACGATCGTACCATTTCCCATGGCGGTAGATTTCGAACCACAACGAGTTGCGTGCTCTTGTCCATCATGCCGGGGGCTCCAACCAATGTCTCAATCTACCCACGTCCAACCTACATACCGTTTCAGCAAACGGTCAAAAGTGCTACCTTCTCGGAACGCACCAGGAAACTTAAAAATTACGTCTTCTCTCGGAAGCTACTTGTGCAACAGCAGGGGCACTGCCTGTGACCAACCACCGGAGTCAGCACTAGAGCACGTTCCCGGTGTGTCATGCTTTCCTCCTTCTCCCAAGACACAACAAAGTCACGTGTCTCGTCACCCGATATGAGACGTCACCGGAGCGTGACCAGTGTTGGGGGCGCACAGGTGGGCAACGTCTGCACGATGGGAGCGTTCTGTCTATCGTCTCATCCGTGGGCGGGTGTGAGCAAAACAAACAGTGTGTCCGGCCGGTTCGAGTCACCACGGACTTAATGGACGGACATACACGCGGCTCTCTTTCGCTTGCTCTTGCTCCCACCTCGATCTTCTCGTCCGGGAAAGCCGCCGCCGCGTCCGCGAAGAGCGTCTTCACCTCGTCCGTCTTGGACACGTCCGCCTTCACGGCGGTGGCCTTGCCCCCCGCCTCCTGGATCGATTTCACCACCTGCATGTCGTGTGGGATATCGTCAAGAAATCGGCGCGGCAACGGCAGGCGGGGGCGAGGGTAGGACAGTACGGGCACAAAGGTCAGCGGGAGGGGTTCACAGCAATGGTCTCAGACGCGCCCACAGAGAGCGGTTGGCAGCCAACTAAGGGTGGTCTGATCGCCCCGACGGCGGACGTATCGGAATTCCAGGTAGGCGGCGAAAGAGGGGCGACAGAGGCCAAGACTAAAGTATCCGATGACAATGCCGAAAAAAAATGCATCAGGCATCTCCCATGAACCTCTTTTCTCCCATGGCGCTCGGTAGGACAAAAGTTGACCCGCATATGCCAACCTGGATTGTACGTATGCATAGCTCGGACCAAAACATGGTGCGGGGGCACGATGTGAACATTCGGAGTACACCATCGACGTGTGCGTTATGACGCTTGTGGGCGTTCCGATTGCAGAGTCCACGACCCCCTCTCCGCCCGGGCGCGGGCGGGCCGCTACCCCCCAAGCCAGACTACAAAGTGTGTTGACATCTGGAAACCGCGCGGAGTACCTGACGGGACCCAACTTGTAGACACTGCTTACGTTTGGAAGCACAGCTACGACATGGTGAAATTTCGCACCTCTTCCGCGGCTCCGGAGGATGCTGCGTAGTTGACGACCACGCTGCACCCCGCGCCGGCGAGGTCCTTTGCGATTGCGGCACCCAGTCCGCGGCTGGCTCCCTGATCTCGCAAAACGGCCGTCAAGAAACACATACATACCGTAGATTCCATTCGTTGAAAACCTTGCATGCACTGTTGTCTACAACCATTGGTGAGAAGGCATTGGTCACCCCAGATGGTAGTTTTGTATTTTTCTCTCTTGGAAGGAAGACCGTGAGGCATATACGTACAAACAGCGAGCGATGGTTGATGAGAATCGGACCACAAAACAAAAGGTCTGAGCATGTATGCGAACTGTTCTGCAAGCGAACGAATGGGGAATCTTCAGATACCTCCGTCTGTCTTGGAAGACCTTGGCGAAGTGGGACTACGATTTGCAAATTCCCGTACTTGGTACTTAGGTTCTGTACACAAGGAACCAAATCATCCTTCGAAACGAACCGTTGTACCTACGACACACTCATACGAGACTGACTTTTCATTGGTCCAAGCGTGGTGGATGCTAATCAAACAAGCACTTCCGCTGTGTGACAGAGGGAATCGTCAGGCAATTTTCCACGATAAATTCAATCACATATCTCTTCGTCGACGCCAACGCGAACGGAGGGGATCGTCTTCGACAAAATGTTGGGCAAATGAGACCGTTTACAGGTCATCTCCGCAACATCGACAACAGCAGCATACAGCAGTCCGCGTATGTATGCTGTTCCACGTTTGTGTGTCACCGCATTTGTCCTCTCAAAGACACCAGAACGTGTAGGTCGCACGCCCTCTCCCTTGCCCACTTCCAGCACCGACAAAAAACGCATGGTACAGTATGAAGCATGCTTGTGATTGCCGCAGAACCGAGGCGGCCGTGTTCCGGTCGCTCATTTTTTTTGTTTTTTTCTTAATATGACACAACGAATCCATCTCTATCTAAGAAAAGTGTCCAAGACAGATTAGCAATGAATCGATACAGTAGCGTCAGTGCAGGCTACCTGTGTTTCCATGATTTCCCGAGCAGCATACAGTCGACCCGCTTTAAGGACGCTCGCGTTAAGGAAACTTCCCGCTTTAAGGAAATTTGTTTTGCTCAGCACCAGGGGGCCCGACCGAATATACGATCATGGCGTACCCCCATTTTTCTGCCGCGTACCCCTCTTGTAGTGTCCTGCGGGCCTGCGGGCCGCTCTTTGCACGAACCACGCAACACAGTGAGTGCAGAAGTAGCGACGCACAGACAGCAGAAGTAGCGAGCGGTCTGCTGCTGCAGCTGTAACTGGGTGTTGGTATGGATAGATTCCTCCCATCTACCGGCGGTCCATCTGATGCCGCAAAAAAAAAAGTCGTGCGTAACCTCGTCCCTCACCGAGGGCGAGGTTATCTCTCGCTTGGAGGACGTTCGATCATCCTACAGATAGTGCCCGCAGTAAAGAGACGTCAAAATCGGATCGAGCCTCAATCCCTTCTTTTGGGTCGAAGTACCGGCCCAAGTCGTCCATTTCGTAAATGGCATTTCTTCTTGGACTGTCGCATCCTCCCGATTCTCTCATTCCCTGGACTACAACAAGTACTTCGTGTTTTTTTTTTTTTTGTGGTCTCTGAGGACGATCCACATCATCAAGTCCTCAAGAGAGGTGGTGGAGAGCGCTATAAAACCCGTACAACAGAGGAGAGCATATGGTTGTCCGCGATGTGTGGCAGTACTACAGTACAGCACTCACTGTGAACAGCAGGGGCGCGGGGGGGGGGCGGGGGGGACTTTGCCGCTTGCAAAAAAAAATGCACTTCCGTTCAGCTTCGGAGGGGGGTGGGAGCACCGCAGATTTCTGATGTCATGGGGGTATCGCACCATCATGTTTCTCATTGGGGCGTTTCTTTCGTTGTGGCCGAGATTGAGCTACGTTTCTTAGCCCTTTGTTCTTATTTCTCGTACAAAGTTGAGCCTTTTTTCTTACAGAATTTTTCTAAACTGCGGGCCCTATCTGCATTTGTACGCGAAGGGAAGGGGTGGCGAGTACCGTGAAACGCAGTACCTTCTTTCGAAGACCGTTCATTGGTTTACTCATGAAACTCAACAGAGCCGAAGAGCCAAGCCGCGGGGGGAGGCTCAGAGAACTCTTCGCGATATATATGTGGAAGGAAAAGCCATTCAGGTAGTTTTTGGTCGCCGCCGGGACAGTGATACGTACTGGTGTTCCTCGGTGCGACGCTGAAATACGCTCGTTTTTTTTTGTTTCACAAGAATGAGATGAANGGTGGCGAGTACCGTGAAACGCAGTACCTTCTTTCGAAGACCGTTCATTGGTTTACTCATGAAACTCAACAGAGCCGAAGAGCCAAGCCGCGGGGGGAGGCTCAGAGAACTCTTCGCGATATATATGTGGAAGGAAAAGCCATTCAGGTAGTTTTTGGTCGCCGCCGGGACAGTGATACGTACTGGTGTTCCTCGGTGCGACGCTGAAATACGCTCGTTTTTTTTTGTTTCACAAGAATGAGATGAATATGTCTACTTGGACTTTCCTCCTCCTTCCGCTGCCGGCTATGCAGTACATTTGTTGGCCAAGTATAAACTGGTGTGCTGTAGTTGTTTTCAACACGTCCCCGACTGCTGTATATCTCATTTCAATTATTGTAAATGTTCGACGTCAACAAACGGTTGCCAGTCGTCTCGGCGATGCTGACTTTTCGTACCACCCTTCCTTAGCAAAATATGCGTAGTTTGAGGTATAGCATGCCTCCATTGGCCCCGGCAATGGTGAGCTATCGTCCCCTGAATTTTAAGGACGCAACCCGCTTTAAGGACGTTTCTTATTCGGGAAAAACCATGTGCGTCCTTAAAGCGGGGTCGACTATTCACATTCCTAGAATACGCGGTGCAACTCGCGTGCGCTCTTTGGTATCTTGCAAAATGGACTTGTGCATGCACTTGCAACCCGTGCTTACGGCTGCCAAAAACACCAAACCACCTCGTACGCACAACTGAACTTGGTTGCCTCAATGCTCCCCTTCGTCCTTACCGTGACGATGGCAATGCTCATCCGCGGACTGCCCCCCACAGCAGTCGAGAGACCAGCGCGCGCCGCTGGTTGCGCAAAGCTGCTCCTCGCTGCAGGAGGCACAACGAAGGCGCGAGCGCACCCTGCCATGCACGCGATGGAGAGAGTGGCCAGCTTCATCTCTGCTACGGCTCCCCTTGCGTCTATCTAAAGCTTGGTCTGTGAGTGCGGTGTGTGAAATGCTTGTGGTGTGGGTTCAACGCAAGCGCGAAGAGGTCGACAACCGGGGGGGCACGAAGATGGCGGTATAGGGGGGGGGAGCACGAGAGCACCCCAATGCACCAAGGATCCCAACAAGGCACACCATACGAGAGATAACATATCGGGATTGCGCTGGCCACGCAAAAGATTGCAATACAAAGGCAGCACAAAGAAACGTTAAACGTACTCGCTGGGGAGATAAATCAAGAGACCCTCGGGGAGAGACATGATCTGGGTTTAGAACCATTGACTGCGTCAAGAACCTTTGGAAAACCGTGTGCCTTAAAAAAACGAAGAACCGCGAACCACCTCCACCTTCCAACCTACAACCTATGCATGGCAGCGTTCCCCGTCCGTTGTGCATAAGTTAGTCGCCGTGCTGCGCTCTGCAGTACTGGTAGACTAGGCGTGGGCACGATGGTGGATTGGCCGAGGTCTAAGATGGACCAGCTCAGCAAGGAGTTTCAAGCTTTTGCGGGGAGATTCTCCGCCGTCGCAACAGACAGACTCGATCGGGTCGACGGGGGCACCTACTTCTCTCGGCTGTACCAGGTGTGTGCTTGTGTGTGAGCACATGATGGGCGCAGACCTAAGCATGGTCTAGAGTATTCTCTTGGAAGTTATTAGTGGCTTCGTGGTGGCCCTCCTCAAGCGACAGGATGTCCATGCAAGTTGATGTTTGTCTTCTCCACATGAACGCCTTCGCATCCCATCCTGCCCTGATACTGCTGTAGTTCGAGAGTTCCTGCAGTTGTTAATCTCTTTCCACTGCTGTGCTGCAAAACATACAACGCAAATTTCACGCTTGCTGACCTTATCGATGTTCGCTCGAACAGGTGAGGTGTTGTCCCTATAGCGCAGATCGCATCGAACATATCGGACCGGGCTCAAAGGAGCACCACTTCGACTATCTCACACGTGCACCGCGCTCAATGATATTTCCTGTTGTCTCCCCTACACCCTGCCGCCCGATCTACGCTCCCATTCAATGCACGCACAACCCCCACTGCTGCTACTCTGTAGACGAGCAATACTACCGATGAGGAGCAGCGTCAGATCGTCACTCTCCTGGAGGAGCTACAGCTGGCGATGGAATCGCCGTTGTTGTTGGCGCCGCCCCAGGGAACAGTCCTCCACACAGGCATGGCCGAGGGAGAAACCGGTCTGGCCCTGGCCCGTCTCTGCGTCGCGCTCGAAAAGTGCCTCTTTTTCGGCGCGGAAGGGCCGATGCCTGATTTCTGGCGGGTTCTTGGCGGCGGGGCAAGTGAAGGTGCTGATGCTCGTTCTCCGGCCGCCGTTTCTTCTGGCGGTGACCTTGACGGATTCAACGGCCAAGGAAACAGTGCTGACGTCGGCTCTGACTCCGAGGAGGGCGGAGACACCGGGACTCGGGGTGAAAGAGCGCCTGACCCACTTGCTGCGGTCGTTGGTAGGCTAACGCGCGTTCACACGGGACACGGTCGGTGCCGGGCTTGGGCGCGAGGACTCCTCGGCGTGGACGGGGCGTCCGCGGAGAGCGAGCTTCGGAGAGCGGTGGCAGCAGCTGTACAGCTAACAAGAATTGCGGCGGACGGCGCTGCGGTTGGCACCGGCAACGAGGGCCAGGGGGACCAAGCATTGAACGATGCAATAGCATGTTCAACCCCTTCTGAGGAACAGCCGGTCGACCTCAGCAACGCCAGCCATAATGCGAACCCCGACAAACGTGGAGGAGGCGGAGGCGACAGCCCGAGAAGTGGCAACACCGAAAGCGCAACAACTGTGCCCTTGGTAGCAGCAGAACGAATCGCCGTGTCCACTTTCAAGCATGTTCACGACGCGCCGTCTTTTGCGGGTCCAGGGTCGGCGTCGACCTCGCCGTCTCAGTTACCGCTGTGGCTACGTCCCAGTCGACAGGGCGTGTCGGTCGTTGACGAATTGTGTAGGATCGTGGTGGAGCTGAGCGGGCGGCTGAAGGAGAGAGAGCTGACTGTCCGGCCGTCTCTCGACCACGCCTGGCTCGACCAGGAGAACGTCGCCGCGGTGACCACGTACACGTGGCCGCAGTTTCGTAGGACGAAGCTGCGTTGCTACGTGCGGGGAGCGGGACTCTCGGCGGCCAACGGCGAGTATTTGCCGACCGAACGGCCGGACGACGGTGAGGGCGCAAGCGTGTATGGCGGCGACAGCAGTGGCGGTAATTGTCCGGGGCTGTCGCTGATCGGGCCCAACGGGTGCAACATCTGCTGTCTACCCCGCCCTGCTGCTGCCGCTGCTGCGGAGGAGAAGACGGTGATCCTCGGCGGCGATAGTGCTGCAGTTAGAGCGGGGGAGCCTAGTCCTACGCGTCGCGATCGCGGGGCCGCCAACGAGGAGGACGTACGTGCGACGCAGCAGGCGGGGCCCCCGACTTTTTCTGCAGAGTCCCCGACCACCATAACACCGGCGCCGGTCACCCAAGTCTGGCACCTTCTAGTACCCGCCGCCTCTTCGTCCGAACTCGTATCAAAGAGAAGCGCGTACTACTGTCTGGGCGACGGACCGTTGCCCCCTTCCCGCGGGTGGAGGTCCGCGGAGGCCACCGAAGCGCCCGCTCCCGTCTTGGGGTTTGCGACGCAGGAAGAAGACGACGGAGACGTAGCCGGGGCCGGGAGCATTCGTATCGGAAGGGAAGGCCCGAATCGGGTCAAGGGGGAAGAGGAGGAAGCAGACGACACCGCCGCGTTGTTCCGTGCGGCTGTGCTACCGCCCATCAATGATGAGCGTCGCGTTGGGGTCGGCGAGTTGGCGGCTGGTGGTGGTTCGACATCGAGAGGGGTGGGGTTGAGCACGGTAGCGGCCGGGGCATCCGTCCAAGCTGAAGGCTTGCTTGGCGGCGAGTCATCAGCCGACACTGCAGCTGTAGGGAGCAGTAGGTTGAGGCGGCGTCGGAAGCGACAGAGGCCCCCGGAGCTCGTGGGAAACGCAGTACTGCGCACCGCTGAACAGGATTTCAGTGTCTTGGGGGAAGTTACCGGCTGGGATCGTGGGGGTGATCGTGATGATGCAGCTGTCAGTCGTGATGGTCGTGGTGATGGTGATGCTAGCGGCGGGCAGGCGCCTGGTGATGGTGTTGCCGGTGCACCGGCTGACTGCGGCGGGGACGACGAGGCGGTAGCCGCCTTCAAGGCGGAGAGGTGGAGACTGCCGTCGCCAAGTGGGGAACTACGTTCACGAGTGGAGAAAGCGAGAGAGCTCTTGCTGCGGACGATGGAGGTACGTACTATTGCCTCGCCGTGCGGAGCGTTTTGCAGAGCGTTTTGTCCGGGGTGGCAGCACCTTGCGGCTTTCCATGTTGTGACAGCGCCTCTGTCTACGTGTTGTAGCCAAGCTGCAACAGGGTGGTATGTTCGATTACAAGTTTTTTTTTTGCAAAACCGCAATGCTGAACCAACCACCCTCTTGTGGTAGGTACAGGCGCTTAATCGAGATTCCCCTCTCCCTCGTGGTGTTCGCCAGGAACAAAGATCGATGCTGGCGATTCGACGAAGTCAGCTACGGGACCAGGTTACCGTTGCACAACGGGAGCTCCACGAGGTAGGCGGGCACGGCGCTCCCCTTGTGTTCTCCATCCTCCCTTACGCTACCCTTTCCTGGCAGACGTGTTCTTGGCTCGCTGATACATGGCGTGTTTTCGACGACCCTCTTTTGTTGACCTAGGCCTCCACCGATGATGCCTTAAGGCATGATACTCACCGTCATGTTTTTTTGCTCCTCTCGGGACAGGTAGTGTGTACCACACATCCCACATGCCACATCCGAGCCAACTCGTATTCCTCAATTTCACCGCGTGCAGGTGATGCAGGAGTCGACGGAGATCACGGCGGAACGGTTGCTCTCGGCGAGACCGGGCCTCCGGGAACAAGCGGAGGCAGAAGTCGCCGTGGCGAGGGCGTCAGCCGCCGGCGCCGGCGCCGGCGCCGGCGCTGCTGCTGACGGGGGCGGCGGCAGCAGCAAGCCGATGGTCCCCTCGCTCGAGGAGCTGGTCGCCGAAAAGGCGGAGGAACTGCGGATCAGGGCGCAAAACCGAGGTCACGTGGATGCGGCAGAACGCCCTTCGTTCTCCTCCTCTTCCTCCTCCTCCTCTTCCTCCTCCTCCTCCTCCTCTTCCTCCGGCCACTGGCTGGAAAACGACGACCAAGACCAACAGCCTACCGCACGAGATCTAGGCGCGGTTTTACCGGCGGCGGTGACGGCGGACGCGGGGTGGCCGTGGCCGGTGGCGTGGCTGGCGGCTCCGCCCGCACCGCCGCCGCCACCTAGAGACCCCGAGGACTGGGAGCTGGGTTTGGAAGAGGGCGCGTTCGGCTTTGGTGTTGGCGTCGGCGCCGGGTTTGCCGGCAGCAGCAGCCACGGCGACGACTTTGCTGAGGGGGCGGAGGATGGAGCCGACCCTCCCGTTCCTTACTCGATCGAGGTGGCTGCGGTGGAAGTGGTCGACGCGGAGCACTTGGACGAGGCGCATGTTGAGGTACGTTGGCCCTTTGTGCAGAGCAGGCCGGGGTAGTGGTGCGGGGATAAAAGCGACAAGGAATTTGGATTGTGGGGTTGTAGTGGTCAGGGCCTACGTGCCATGTTTTGGTGGAGCGACAAGGTCGAGCGTGTTTCTATGTTGTGTGCTTTCCAAGAGAGGCCCCGCTCGGATAGCGTGGCTTTACAACAGCAAGTGTTGGCTTTGAACCGGGTGATTCCGACTACATACGTGCGGCATCGTTCGTCTGCTCCATCTGGTGCCACCGCGTCACTCAACGATAATTCTGTTGTCCTTGTCCACGAATGCCATCCTTCGCCCACAGTACGTGCTGCGACTCGTGTTCCACGAGGTGCACGAGCAGCAGGGCAAGGATGCCGTGTCCGAGACACCGGGGGTGCTGGACCGAGGCAACGACAGCAGGCGCGGTCGCCGCACGAAGACCACCGCAGTCCATTCGGACGATGACCGAGGGGCCGCTGAGCTGGTGGCGCTAGCCACCGCGGCGAAGGGCTTACTCCAGCGCACCCGGGTGCTGAGCAAGAGGCTGAACAGCCTCTGCGCCCTCCACCCCCAGCTGATGTGGGAGCTGGAGGAAGCCCGGCGGCTGAGGTCCAAGGGGGAGGCGGAGGTCGAGATCGCGGCGGAATCCCTCGACTTTCCCGACCCGTTCGAGCTGGGGACGCTCGAGGTAACAATCTGTTGGGTGTCCTTGTTATCATTGATTGGTACCATAGGTGGAGACTGCTGTAGCTCCTATACCTTCCGTTTTTGTTGTGTCTGGTCCCATCTTCGCAAGGGGGTTGTGCCTTTGCGGTGCTTGTTCAATTTTTTGGGGGGGATTCTGTGATTTTGTGCTGTGTTGCAGGCGTTCGGCGGGCAGCGTATCTGTACAGGCGCCCGGTGCGAGACGAGAGGGGACACAGATCAAGTAACTGCACACAAATTTCCGCTGATGTACAGAGAGTAGGAGAGTGCGACGACAACGGTTTCATTTTTATTGGGTTTTTTGTAGGGGCCTGCGAGGGTCCCTGGCCAAGGTACGACACCAAACATGGTTGGCATTGCCACCCGTCAACTAAATCTGGGGCCTTCCACGCGCTCTCTTCTTTGCTCCCACGTGCGCGCAGGAAAAAATCTTGCGAGTGCATTGCGACAAGCTCACTCCCAATTTCAAGGCCAACTCCCCCACGCGAAAGCTTGCGGCGCGGGTAGGGTCTTACCTGTCAGGCCTGCTTCGCTTCTTGGGCGTGCTCGAGGTGGGCTATTCAGGAAGGAGCTCACTCCCTGCTCGTGCGTGTTAAGAAGTTGTGTTTTGTTGAAGGGTGCGTAGGCGCGAGACGCAGCGCTTGCCGCTTCTGCGCTTTCACTTGGATTTTTCTACAGCCGTCGTTTGGATTTCTCGCCACTTTGTTTGTTACTCGTGAGAGCTTCGTACCCCTCCGCGAAGAGATGCGGCACACCCTGGCCTAATAGGTACACATTCTTTCGGATTCCCCCGTAAACACACTCTTTGATGGGCTCGGGTCGCTGGCTTCGTGCCAAACGGCGTCACCACCCAAGATCGCATGTACGTTATCTTCTTCGCCCACGACCCCTTACCTGCGACAGCCATCCGTAGCACGCCTCCCCCTGGAGGAATTCTACTACCGTTGTTCGTTACTCCCGCATGTCGCCCGATGCCACTGCAGGCGGTAGGGGAGGTTGACGTCCGGTCGCGCATGTCGCGGGTGCTCAACGACGCGCTCTCCACCTGCGATCGGGTCGGCCGGAAGAGGCGGCGAGGCGACTTCGCCCTTGGCGTGAGGATCCGAGACATTGCCGGAGGCAAGCTGGGGTCCGGGGTTGGCGACGAGGAACGGCTCAGGATTCAGAAGAGAAGGTGCGTGTGTGCGCGCGCGCACCGTGTGTGCATGTCTGAGGATCTTGTATCAGATGAAATGTCAGGAGCGGGGTAGCTGGGGTTCTCTCCTTCTGCTCGAAGTCGATGTTAGTTTTTGGTTGCTCCTTTTTGTGATGACACATCTGGTACAAGCAGCGCTGCCTTCTGTTTCTTAAAGGGCTTCTCTACGGCCCCCAAGTGTTCCCGACCGCGGTTGCTATGGTCTGTGGTAAGTATTAAGGCAAACGATGGCACTTCCAGGTGCTTTCATGAAGGATGAACGCGAAACAGGATTTTCGAAAGTCAAGACCCAAACACGTTTCCCCTGCACGACGAAAGAGAGAGTGAGGGCTGAGCGCCCGACCGATTACGAACGGCTGGGCAGGCAATGGAACGCCGGTTGTCGATGTTCGCACTCTGTTGCGTAAGTTTCGTCATGTGTGCGTGCAACCCCTTGTCGCACCGCGCAGGTGCATGAGCTGCGGGCGCACGATCGCGGCGGAGTTCCTGGGGATCAAGAAGGATTACTTCCCTTGTCGGTACGCAGATGGCCTCTTCTGCCGCAGGTAAGCGTGCGCGCTAAAGTTGAAGTTAGAATGAGGCGCAAGAGATGAGGAAGGGAGGGTGGGGGGGTTGTGCCCCTCTAGATATGTAGTGCCTTGCGCCGTGCTGTGACCCTGCAAGGCGCGCTCTGATGCCTTACTTACGATGTTTTTCGGGGAGGCATTGTGGCCCCCCTTTTTTTCCAGCACGCTGCTCATGGGAAGGTGTCAAGTGTTGTTGTAGGCCTCCACGCCACCTTTGTCCCACGTGACGGCCGCCCACGCACCACCCGTTTGTGCAAGACTCTTGTCTCGCGCTCGCGTTTCACCTCACCCCGTCGTTGATTCATATATCCCCCTGTGACGCGATTTGAGACAAATCTTGATACATACATATATGAACATCACATACAGAGCGCCTTCGTCGGCAGGCCAACAAACAAGACACCTCCCGCCCGGTGAGTGAAACTCAGCGTTTTTTCTCCTCCCGTTGTCTCCGTGGTGTCCTTGCCCCCTCCCGCCTCGCGCTTTTTATGACCCGTGGGTCGGCTGGACCTTAAACCGCCACCGCCTCTATCGTGCAGCTACTGCCACGCCGAAGATCGTCGGGTTATCCCCCACCGGGTGGTTCACCACTGGGATTTCGTGAGGCACCGCGTCTGCAAGGACGCCCGGGCGTTCCTGGACTCTACGCGGTTCCATCCCGTCTTCGACTTGCCGGCCTTGTCCCCCACGTTGTTCACGGAACAGCAGGTTCGTAGTTCGGCGGTAACCACACTTCACGATGTGTTGTCGGTTCTTTTTTCGACGTGCTGCCGAGAGGTCCTCTCTTTGTTGTGTGCTATGTGCCGCCTGGTCGTTTGAGGTTGCGGACGGATAGAGAGTTGGCTCGATTGCGCCGGCGTGGCGGGGCCATGTCGCGGGCGGTGGGGCGAATAGAATGAAGCTGACGCGCACCGCATTTGCACGCCGAATGCAGGATAGCGCACATCGATTGGTCAATATCCCGATGTACGTTGTGTGTGTGAGTGTTGTGTCGCGGGATCAGGAGAGAGCACACAACAACGAGGGCTTGTGCTGCAAAGGAACTGACGTTCGATTTATCGATTGACGAGGGTGGGAAACATTCCCATGTTTCATGCTACTTCGTGTTTCATGCGACGTTTCTTCGGCGTTAAATTTTTGCAGATAGAAATCATGAGCCTCGCATCGCATATACCGCATTGACCTTCAACAATCTGGCCTTTCGATCCTCTCTCCGTCTGACCGCATGAGTTCATGATCTCCCTCGTCTGCTGATACCGAATTCATGGTGGATGTCAGTCCTTGCGAATGGTGCGATCGCGCCGGAAGCAGCTTTATTTCCTGCGCCGTACAATATTCTTTCCGGTGGAGTGCAAGTGCGTTCTCGGTGCTCGATTGTTTGACAAGCTTCTTGAGGGCAGGTGAGTGCGTGCGTGCGTGCGTGAGCGCGCACGCTTGTGGTCCTCCCCCCCCCCCCC